GAGAGGTAGAGAAGACAAACAACTCTGCCCCTGTAAAACACTTACACGGCAGAAGAGGTAGATAAGACAAACAACTCTGCCCCTGTAAAACACTGACACGGCAGGAGAGGTAGAGAAGATAAACAACTCTGCCCCTGTAAAACACTTACACGGCAGAAGAGGTAGATAAGACAAACAACTCTGCCCCTGTGAAACACTGACACGGCAGGAGAGGTAGATAAGACAAAAACTCTGCCCCTGTGAAACACTTACACGGCAGAGAGGTAGATAAGACAAACAACTCTGCCCCTGTGAAACACTTACACAGCAGAAGAGGTAGATAAGACAAACAACTCTGCCCCTGTGAAACACTGACATGGCAGGAGAGGTAGATAAGACAAACAACTCTGCCCCTGTGAAACACCGGCACGGCAGAAGAGGTAGATAAGACAAGCAACGCTGCCCCTGTGAAACACTGACACAGCAGGAGAGGTAGATAAGACAAAACTCTGCCCCTGTGAAACACTAACACGGCAGGAGAGGTAGATAAGACAAACAACTCTGCCCCTGTGAAATAACAGCAGGAGAAGCGGATAACAGAGAGAAACACAACCCCTTATTAAAGGTTGTGTTGAAATGAATTACAACAGTAAACAAAAACATCTTTTATTAAAGGTTATCAGTTATTAGTATAACAATACATAACTCGTGAAACGACATCGACACACAATGTGATCCTCCAAATTGAATTAATTCAATTTCGCTACAAAGATAAAATAATGAACTCTTTCTCACTGATTATTTAGACTTACATAAAATAACAGAGAAGATAAACTTATTCAGATGATATAACTTTCAGTCACCGACGACAAAAGGTTATGTTATAGACATATATATATATATATATTGTGCTGTATATATGACACTGTAGAAGCTCTGTTGGATTGTAAATGTTTATTTTATTGCGAAGGTATACATCTGATGCAACACAACACATATAAATATGATTTGAATACTCTGTGTTACTTTCGGTCCGGCGTGGCCTGATGGTTAAGGTACTCGACTCCGAATCTGCCGGTCGCGGGTTCGAATCCAGTCACCGATCATGCTTGCCTCTTCAGATGTAGGCTCGTTATTATATGACGGTCAATCCCGCTATTCGTTGGCTAAAGAGTAGCCCAAGAGTTGGCGGTGAAATGCCTACCCTCTAGACTCACTGCTAAATTAGGGACGGTTATCTGGAGGGGAGCAAATTCTGCCCTGGTATGACCGATGATATATCAGCAGTCGTAATCGGGACTTAAAAAAGAAAAAGAAACATACTTTGAGTTTAACTAAAGAAAGTTATTTCTACTTTCTACTGAAGATGGATACCTGTATTAAATAAACAATCTGAATGATGTCTGTGTTACAAAATGTTTGTTAGTTATCTAAAACACACCTATATAGACGAAATCAGTCAGGTGGTTTAGAGTTTCGTTGCGTAAAGTATTCTAGGATGTTCGTCGTCCTTAATAGTTTGCCACGTTTTTATTTTCATCTATGGTTGTGTAACGTGCTCCAAATTGGGTACAATTAAGTTGTTTGGCAAAAACGAAAAGTCTGCAAATGGTTCTACAAACAGCACGTGACAAGAACGTTCATTTTTGTACTTGTTGGCGTCATAAAAGTTCAAGCCAATACCAGCAGAGGAGACCACGTGTTAAGATATATAAATACAGCTTCGAAGATACAGAACATTATATTTTGAGACTCGCAAGATGAATATTTTAACTGTAGTTTTTGTTCTGGCCTTCTCTAGAATGGCCTTCTCCGCTTGGGAAGACGATGTTGAAATAGTTCAAATTGCGGTAATCGGGTCTATCTGCGGTGAGGCACTTTGATTTTATCTTAATTATCACAAACTTAGCACCAGGTTTTGCTATGGATATTTTATTTCTATACTTGTTGTAATATCTTAGACTAATTGTATATTTCAAACACGTTATATATTTTTATTGATAAAATCATTATTTTGTTGCTAAACCTGAACTAGAATATTGACGAAGAAAACTAAGTATTAAAGTTTAAACGTCTTATATTTAATTATTAGTAGCAGCTAAAATCAAGCTTGCTAACATAGCAGTCGTTTCTTTTATTCAAAATAATTTGAAGGATAGATAAGACAATCTTGGATTGTTGGTTCTCCTGTAGGACAGTTGTAAGTTAACAACGGTAAAATCCGGGGTTCAATTCCTCGAGGTGGAGACGAGTGATAGCTCAATGTGACTTTGCTCAAAGAGAAACAAACATACTTTGGTTGTTGGTTTTTATATATCTCCATCAATACTTGCCGGAACACAAAGATATTTCTACGATAGGAATGCGTCAGTTGTTTCTTTCACCCTGTAGTACTTGAAGGAACTGAACACGTTTATTATGTGTAGTTTGTTATCAACTGTTGATATTTGATAATATACGTTGATTAAGCTTATAAAAAAAACAATGATATTAAGTTATAAATACCTTAAAATATACGTTGTTCAACTTGTTTTCACAAAAAGATTGTATGTTTTTTTTTTAAGCACGGCTATCAAAAGTCGTACTTACTATTAAGCCACCGAAGGGGCGGGGCTTCAGGAAACTACTTCGGGTATCGTATTTCTGTTCAATGACATGGTTGTTTATTACTGCAAAGCCTCACAACAGACTATCTGCTCTCTGTTCACCGCGGAGAATAGAACCTCGGATTTACCTGGAGACTCTTTGATATGTAGTTATTCTTTTATATACATTCTCAAAAAGAAAAATCATTATTACATAAAATATTTAGAGTTGACCTTTACTTAAGTACCACGCATTAATATCACACTAAAACACGTATCAGAATGTTGATCAATAAATGAAACAATGATCTTTTGTGTCTACATGCTTTAAAATAATAAAATACTCGTGTTTGTAAATAAACTTTCAATGTTTGTAGACGTCGTGACTGGAAACCCGGAGAATGTTGAGGCAACATTGAAATGTGTCTTAGATGAATTGATAGTTGCTTACCATGAAGTGGAAAAGGTTAGTATTATGTCAATGATATAAATCAGTATGAAATTGTTCTCTGTCTTATCACTTATACAGTATTGTAATATTGTTCTTTATCGTATCTCTCGTACAGTACTGTAATATTGTTATTGGCCACGTCACTCGTATAATATTGTTACTTTACACAGAAATATATTATTGGTTTTCCGGTCTTTTAGAAATAAATCTGGTCTAGATCGTGTCGCTTCTTCCCAAACTATTTAACTGTACAATTATCTCGCTTCATCGGGTTAGACGTGTTTATGACGTTTCATAGCACGTGGAAACTTTAGAGACCTGAAGTAATCGTCAGTTATAAAATAATTTATTTAAACATCTTATGATTTTGTTCACTACGCAGCTCTTTTGTTGGGCTGGTTATTTCCTGTTGAAAACAATAAAAGAAGAAATAACATGAAAATCTTTAGATATTTGTAGATCTACAGGTAGAATAACGAAGTTTATATTATCCAAGACTATAGGTCTTCTGAAAGATTGTCGACAGTCTGTTTATCCATACACATCCGAACTCGACTTTTACCAAGAAGTCTGTAAGACAGAAAATGAAGCTGTGCAACTAAAGGTAAGTAAAAAAAAAAACAAACGATATCTTATTTGTGATTCTGTTTAGATAGTACTTTTCGCGAGACATTTATAACTGGTCAAACTTTAATAAAAACAAAAATATAGGTATATAGCTAAGTAATGTCAATACTTGAAATCACTGTAATTTTGTAATATTATGAAATATTCACAAACAAAGGACTAGCTTATTGTTTCCTTGAAACACTGCACTCGACCATCACTAGCGACTAACTTACAGGAAGTCATCAATTAGGCTCCAATGAGAAAAGAAATACAGGGTGTAATGGTTTTCAAACGAGACCCGAAACTCGAGCGCTTTCGAATAGTTCACTATTGTTGTTCAGGAGAATAAAGGGTTAGGTTTAATGGGTCTAATAAAATATATTAGTATGTTACATGATAACAGTTATAAGAAATGTTAACCCATTTTTATAAAGATAAAATTAAAAATAAAATAACGGCAAAAGGTGGTGGAAAACAGAGAAAATAATGATGTGACGCAATGTATAGGAAATAATACCAACATAGAGAAATTAAAACATGAATAACACTAATAATATACAGTAAGTTTAATTATGAATTTAGTTTTGAAAATCTTTGCAGAGACTTGCGAAGGTCAACAATCCCAGGATGGAGACTGACACCATTCGGCGTTACAGTATTTAATAGTTAACTATCCAATAAGTTTCTTTAATTTCCCTGTTTCTGTTAGATGTAAAATCTGTAAGTTTTCAGTAGGCATACCGCAATTAGAAATAACAGGACGACCAGGTAAGTTTTCAGTAGGCATACCGCAATTAGAAATAATAGGACGACCAGGTAAGTTTTCAGTAGGCATACCGCAATTAGAAATAATAGGACGACCAGGATTGTTGGGATTGTGTGTTTTTGGTAAAAGCGACCTGGAACTGGGTGTTTAGGTGAAAAGAACTGTAATGTTTCACAACTGATGTGTTGGTTTTTCTGTAAACTACATAGCATATCTTCAATAATTTTAACAAATTGCGGTGTGGGGTCCGTATCTACATTTTTTATAATGGTTTGTGTCACTAAGTTGTCGGGAAGCTTCGTTGATGTAGTTGGACTTATCTTGAATGACAATGACGCTGCCCGATGAGTTTTTAAGCCATACCTATACCTGGCCTGCTCCTTTACTAAACAAAGTTTTCTCGCGGAACCCCTATATATATATCGTATGGAACCCCATGGTTCTACAGGAACCCCTATATATATATCGTATGGAACCCCAGGGTTCTACAGGAACCCCTATATATATCGTATGGAACCCCAGGGTTCTACAGGAACCCCTATATATATCGTATGGAACCCCAGGGTTCTACAGGAACCCTACTATATATATCGTATGGAACCCCAGGGTTCTACAGGAACCCCTATATATATCGTATGGAACCCCAGGGTTCTACAGTTTGGGAAACACTTTTGTTGTCTAACTCGTGTTTTCATATCGTTTACATTTTTTCTTAAACTTCCAAAAAAAATCCTGACGTTAAGCACTTTCCCGTTATATCAAAACGCCCTAGAACAGAAAAGAAAAAAAACAAGATAGGGGGAGATAAACCTTCTCCAGCCTTTCACAACTAGCTTACTTTGTGTATGTGCTTGACTTAAGTAACTTATGTAAACTGATAGTTCAAAGTCGGTTTTTTTTAGAGGTCAAACTTTTTCTATGTTTCGTGAACATTAAAAAATCAGTTATATATATATCATGAACAAAACAGCTAACGATTTAGTCATTTACATTTTAATTACGTAATGTTGACTTCCTGTTTATGATGGGTTCTTATTTTATTCAGCTTAGCCAGTGTTACTTGAATATACCTTATCTCAGTCACGCCGAAGAACTTATTGGAACTGGTATGAGAATAGTGGTAAGTTAAATGATTAATACAGTCTAATATCAGAAAAAATACTTCACATACCTTGATGAAAGTACAGAACACAATGAACTGGTTACATCAGTCTGTAAGTTTTAAGTTTTTTAGAACATTTAAATCAACAAATTACAAGTTCGATGCTAGCTATAAATGTTTCATGTCAGGATTGTGAAGATAAACTATACTTGTTACTGGTATATCTGACTCTTAGAAGTTTTGTGTCAAGAACGTAAAAACCGAATAAAAACTTGGAAAGAAGACATTATATTAATTTTATCTTCAGTCAATTACGCATGTGAGGTAAACATCAGACATTTAGTCCCAAACGTCTATTTGCTCTTTGCATCACGATTTTTAAACTTATAATGCGTTTACAAGATTAAAAATGTTAACATGTAATCTGTTGATTTTATTTATCTGTGTCATTTTCATTATCAATGTTAACAATTTGCTTCTCACGCATATAAATAAAGAAATTGGTTAAGGGGAAATCCGTAAAAGGGAAATATATCTTAGAGTACGAATATTTGCCCCAGGTAATACAAATAAGTACTTTACATAAACCTTCGCATTATCTACTACTTTAAACAATACATATTACTAGAAATTAAATAATATATTTCAGTTATTTTATCAATAATTTATATATATATATATATATTTTTCATCCACACAGAATACATGTTGATGAGTATACACTGATAAGGTGAGTGTTTTTAAATATATATATATAGCGTAAAGATATATTTGTGTGACTAAATTACTGACATGTAAAAATATTATACTTGCAATTGATATTTTGATTTATTTTGGAGTTTATCAGTTGTTATTACTTACCAAATCTATGAGTGAAATCAGTCTAATTTTCGGGTTAAAAAAACATTTTTTGTACCCTTATTAAGAGGTTAGACAGTTTAGAATTTGTTATAATTTATAACTCAAATGTAGATGTCACTTTGTAAATTACAAATGTTGATATTATTTGAATGGTGGTCTTTAAAGATATTCGTTAAATACTTTTTTTTTTCTAACTGATAAAGATATTCAAAACTTACGTCACTCGAAATGTAGTTTTTTTTTTTTTTACTTTAGGATTTTCAAGGATCAGAGGCAACATCCACAATTTTGAAAGATCTGGAGTTGATTTTTTAAATTTTGCATGCTTTCGGTTTGGGATCATTCCAAATGAGTTAAATCTCCTTTTTTTTTTCGTTTTGGTTTTAGGAATTAGAAGAATTATATCGAACTTAACCAGTTGTAGAAGGACTGAAGCTGGTTCCTTAATTTTCACATTAACTTTTGGGATTTTAATTCTTTGTCGCTCAGATTGTACTTTCATTTAATCAAATAAACTCTGTTGGTATTGATGGATATCGTTTGGTGTGTTGTTATCTAATTTTATTACACAGGTAATCTATTTTTAAAAGTAATAACTTTAAAAAATATATAAAACATAAAAGAAAAGTATTCATAGCTCAAATATTGATAACAATTAAAACTCGTAATCCAGATAAGTTTAAATATGTTATTTTTACCTAACTTATTGAATTCATTGTCATGAAAATTTTAAATATAATTACATTTTTATGAAATATAGAAACCGTAGAATCATGTTTAGCCCTCTACATTCCATGGAAATGTTTTATTGTTGATCGTCGTTATTGTTATGATATTAACCACACATATATAAGAATGGAGCTCTAACACAGTACGGTATTGTTGGTTCTACTTATCATTGTTAGATACATGTAATAGTGTTTGATACGAGCTGCACTACACAGAAAATGTGAGAAACCGCCATAGTTCAAATGCTTTGATTCGTTATTTTCAGATTTAATTGTATTAAAAGATCAATACCTCCATTATGAAAGGAAACCACACGTAGAAAGATCAAAATATAATGTTCTTAAACAGGTCCGTTAGAAGAACTTTTGAAACAGGTTTACAAACTCTACATGAATTGTTATAAATATTTTTCACATTTTTGATATAATGACAAAAAATGAAATATTAAAAAGCTCATCTTTATAGGTTGAATCTTTTATTTTTAGAGGGCGCTGCAAGTCAGGCCTTGCGTGAGTGAAGCGATAAATCCATTGTCTGAATAAAACGCCCACCTTATACGTTCTTCCTTTCAAGTACACACATTTCCTTAATCACAAATCATTCATTTGTGAGAGCATTTCCTGACTGCTTTACGTATATTGTATATGTTTATTGTATTGCTTTGTAAACGTTGTATTGTACATGTTCTACAGCATATTGTATGTTATTATTGTATTGTATCGTACACGTTGTATTGTACATGTTCTACAGCATGTTGTATGTTATTGTTACGTCTCCGTTTGTTAATTAATTGATTTTCCGTAACTTCGTACCGACGAAACTTACGCGACACAAGCCTTTACTTAATAAAACTGGTTTATTCTTTCCGAATATAAGCAATAGCTCGTCCTGTAATGGCATTCTTAACTATCACCGGCTGTAATCTGGAATTTACGTGCTAG